CCCCCCCCCGCTCCCTCTCCCGCCTCGGGCTACGTCGCATTTTTCCCGCACATAATCTTTCATTATTTCTTGAATCTCAAAAGTTAAAATGCATATTATCGAGAGGTTGTCCGTGTGTGTGTGTGTATGTATGAATGTACATATTATGTATATATGTACGTATTATGTATGTATGCGTGCGTCTGTCTGTCTACGTGTGTGTCTGCGCGTGTGAGTGTGTGTTCGGAGGCAAATGAACTCTGTCACCAAAAACTTTCAACTCACCAGCTGGGAAAACTGGGGGCTGGAATTGTAGGAGCACAAACTTACCCCAATATGCCACCCTCCCGTTTTAAACCAACACCCATGCGTGCCTAATTCTTCCATACGGACGCCTGAAACAAGCAACTTTTTGGCGGGGAGCAATTTCGGAGACTGACAAGTGTAGGAAGCTGGAACTATGCAGAGACATTCTCTATCCATGTACGAACTGAAGATTTCAAATCCAGCCATCGCTAACGCCTGTGTCATACGTACGATCAGGCTAAAGTTCACAGTTGCTCCATGCCTATGAAATTAGTCGGAAACAATAGCTTTAACTTCGCCAGAACAACTATCGGCCACTTGGGAAATTGTATACCTAAATGGAGTTTCGGACTGCATTTGCGCCATATGCCAAAGAAATTCAATTTGTGTCAAAATTGTCCGTACAGACGAGGAATATGCGAAAAACTGCACTAAGACGCAGCAAATTCCGTACAGAAAGGAAGGAACGAGGCGGCAGAAAGATGTAGAAGTTAAGCAAATGCAATTTTTGTCTAACGATGCGCGGAATTTGATCAAAGAGCATTAAAACTAAAAAGTACTAACCCATTAAAAGCAGAATAAATAAATTCAGAAACACGAAAATGGGAAACGAACAAACAAGATGTAGCAACAGCATCTGGTTACTAACTTAGGTGGGTTTGCATTAAATCATCTGCTTCCTCATCCCCTCCTCCCCCTCCCCTTCGAGCAAAAACCAAGCAGCGCACTGTTGGTGCATATACAGTATTTAAGGGAAAGTGCGATCATACTGTGTGGTCCCCTCAGTTCCTGGCAAAAAAGGACGTTATGCAGGATGACAGTGGCAGTGGTGATGATGATGATAATGACGAAGACAGCGGAGAAGCGGGCAAAAGAGCGAGGAAAACCGAACGCGGCTGGATGGAGCACCAGCAGGCTAGATAGCAAACGCAATGGCCTTTTGTCAGGAGAAATGGAAAAAAGAACTGACAACGGCAGCGATAAAAGAAAAAGGCAGGAGGAGCAGCTCGTGCAGTATCACCTCTGCTTCAGGATGCGAAAGAGGAGGCAGGGTAGCCTGAAGCAGCGACAGGATCGATATGAGAGTGTGATGGGGACGACAGCACAGTGCCGGACAGCCTCGAAATAGTGCACCAGCATAGAATTCTCCTCTTTCACACTCCCCTTCGAAAAACGCTTTCATTTGCAATGGATTTCGAAACCTGCTCAGGATGTAAATAAGTGGAGAGGGGATACGAAAGGTGACTCCTTCCGAGCAGTCACGGTTGAATGTTCCCGGGACTTTTTCAAAAAACTGATTCCAACGACTCCAAGAGGAACTCGGGCCGAAGCACGGCTGAAAAAGCAATCAGCCACAAGCAGTCCAGAAAAAAAAAAAAAAAACGCACAGAGGAAAATATCGGAACAATCTAATCCACACAAGCTCGCTCAGATTTTTCGACTTCAACAAATGCAACTTGGAAAATGGTCTAGGTGCTTCACAAGGACCAATGCTGCCTTTCCGACTTTTTCAAAAAAAAAGGAAACAGTTTTCTTCAGAAACGCTGCAAAAAACATTTGCAAATGGACATGAAGCCCCTGAATGTGGCATACAACCCGTCAAATATCATGATGACTGAGATTCCCTGAGCCATGGCAGTGAAAGTCCGTTTTAATATGTATTACTGGGATGAACTTCGTACGCTGAATGCAGTTATGTCGGATGTCTGCTAAACTGCAAATCGGGATCTCCCAACATGTTCTTGTTGGTAAAAACTAACTGATGGATAAAGAAATGACTGAAACACAAGTTCTTCGTTGATCTATTTCGATGTTTTTTTTTTTTTTTTTGAGCTAACTTCTCACTTTCTAATGTAATGTTGGGAAGAGCGGAGGGGGAAGGCGAACAAAAGGTTCGAACATCACAGTGCTTGGAGGGCCCTGAACAAGCTCGGGCACTTGGCCAGACACAATTCCAGAAGACCTGTATTTTCGATGTTTTCTGTGATAACTTGCGTTATGTCTGTATGTGTTACAGCAGTAATGTGTGAAGAGCTCAGAAGGTAATGGCTGTAAGCACTCATTATTTGGAAATATTAACTCAATCACCAGCCAAAAAGGAGGCTATTTCTGATGCAATACTAAGAGCAAATGTATCGTTCTAGCAGTCCTGTCTACTGCATTACTGATAATTTTACTACCAAAACTGGCAGGCTTGGTGCACTGATAAGCGACGCACTCCCTAAACTCACATCGGCCCCTTGAACCCGCTAATGCGTAAACCACTCCTTTCTGAAATGCGTTAACTCGTTCCTGAAGCAAATAGATACTGACCCGCACAGTATGCTAGGTAGCCGATCCGCCTCCTCAGGTGAACAGGAATAAGGGAATCGCTACAAATTTTGCGAGCGCAGGCAGCAAGGTACTGGCAAAGCGGTACCACTTGGGCTGCTCCCACGAATTTTCCCCAGCAAAAGATGACTCTCATAGCAAGGGTGCTTAGATCTATTGGATGTATTATTTCTTGAGTAAAAAAGCATTACTTTTTTGCCTTCGGTCCCTACGACTTCGTCGTTTCTACTCTTTTCTCTTCTAGGAAATCCATCAGTATCCTGTGTAGTCCTTCAAAACTTTTAATGCGCAGCCCGAAAGAAGCCTGTCTTCCCCTCCTCCATTTTCTCGAACAAAAAATGCTTAGCAAAAGACCCAACTGCGACCTTTTTTGCTGGAACGCCACGTATCACTTTAATGCGTTTCTCTCTACTGTTGCTCTTACGAATAACTGTGTATAACATGCTGCCCCGCAAGCCGCCATGAATCGTCCCTCGAATCAGACTCAGCCCTCTCTCTCTCTGCCTCATGAATTTTGAGTTTGTTTTGCACACTTTTTCAATCGAGGACAATCTGTGGGACTAAAGATTACCATTAATCGTTCTTCAAATTCAGACCACAAAAGTTCATGACGAATTCTCCTCCCTGTCCGCCATCCCTTTCCATCCTCTGCATTCGTTTCCATCGGCGAAATGTTAATGTTCAATAATTCACATAACAAAATGAATAAAAATTATTTCTTATGGAACGAAATTGTGTTTCAAACAAAAATTGAAAGTCAGCTCCATGCTCCAAAAAGTTCCTTTCCGAAAAACTGCACTAAACCCCATCCAGACGAGTATGCCGATCTCCAGAAAATAGTGCTTTTTGTGACGGCCCGTCCTAATTTTACGAGTTTCCCTAGCACTTTTACCAGCGGCTGATTTGTTTTATGTTCTTCGATCCTGAAAACGATCTTCGCCGCAGCTCACACCTCTCAGCTGAACCATGCATCCCCAACTGTTTCCCACTCAATATTGGGCAGCGAAGCGTAACCAAAACCTTGTGAATTTGCGCACTCCTGGGTTTGATTGCTACGAAAAAAGTTCCGAAAACTTGTTTTAAAATTTTTGTTGAAAACTTTTCGAAACTTTTTCAGCTGCTCTTTAACGCAATTTAACAATTCCCGGTTAATTCCAATACACTTTCGAGGTGTCATTGTGTATCTTTAGCCAGACTTTGAGCCATTTTAGCAGAAATTTGCCACGTCCTGTGTACTCCTGCTGAATATATTTTCGGTATTTCAGGATCTCGCCCAGGAGTAGTAATAAAGACGGACTTTATCCCCAAAAATAACTCCAAGTTACGTCGCAACACTTCTGAAGATTCTGTTATGAAGACACAGTTATGTAAATTTAGAAAGGATGTGATTAAAGGAAGATCACTGCTCACTCTCCTTTAACACCTTGACCCAGAACCCCTGATCCCCTAATCTCGGTTTCACTGCACAATCCTCGAAAGTGACGTCAAGCACTGAAATTCGTATGCCTACCAGCAGTCCAGTTAATTCAGCTGCCTCGCCTCTTCTGGAGCACATTATTTTACTTCAAGCAGCAGTCGCTTAGAAAAACACAAAAGTTATGGTGTCATGTCTTTCTAAACTATCTGAACCGCCTGCCGCCTATTTTTCCATCTTTTTTTTTCACTTCCTTCACCATTTAGCTGAACCCTTACCTTTTTCCTATGCAGCCAGTAGACAACCAACTCAATCTGCTGCCTCTCAAGCAGAATCTGTTCGTCCACCACATGCTCATTCAGCAATTTTCGCGCTTTCACCTCCCACTGACCAACACGAAAATGAAGGAAATCAGACGCCACGTCGGTATGGTATACTGCCCAGTTATATGTAAGACTCCCACATTTTCCCTCTGCGCATACATCTTCTGGGGACTGTGAATTTTACACCACCGAAGAAGCATCGCATGGCATCCCGCACGACCGCTTGGACGGTTTCCGGACACGAGTAGTGTACGAAGTGGAAGCAATGCTGGTGGCTTGCAAGCCCATACCATTACCTCAACAACACGGCCGTACGAAGGCGGATAATCCAGAGGAATTTTCGCCGAGAAATCTGCAGGCCAAAGTCGCGTGTATGCACGCGCGCAATTGCAGCATACCTGCGGCTCGCAGGCTCTCGCCCTTGCTTCCTGGCCTATGCACATATTAGAGCCAGATGCCGGCGAGGCATGAAGCCAAGGCAAATAAGCATCTGCACGCAGAATCAATAAAAGCTGGCCGGTATGCATGTGCCTCGAGCATCGCTTTATTTGTTGTTGTTCACACAAACAGCTGGGATGCCCGGAGTAGGGGCGAGTTTGGAGAAGGCGCCGCTGTGCGAAGTTTCCACAGGACGCTCCACTCCCACCCTATTGAACACTGCAAGTTCAGGAAGTGAGCATTTTCTGCCGGCCACACATTCGAACCATATTTCCGACTGCAAATGATGTTCAATCCACATCGATTAGCAATCTAAAATCCGATCTAGCAACGAGCTGCAGGGTGGAGAGCGCACAGAAGACGGCCGGAGAGAGCTGGACGGTGATCCAGAGGTGGCAAAACGAACAGAAGTACAAGGAGAAAAGTGAAAGCTGCTTTTTTGGTGCGTCTTTCTACCACTTCTTCTGAGCAAAGTTCAAAATATAAAATGTGAGCAGTGACAAAGAATAGGACAGTGTGTGTCACTGGGGGGAGGAGGCCACAGGGCAACGTGCAGTCCCAATTTATGGAGCTCATTTTTGCGGTCAACTTCTGTAAATCTGATTCCACACATTTATCTAAGTTAGCCTCATTTTTGACAGTCTGTGTCGTTCCTTTACCCGTTCACTGTTGCAACTGAGGTTACGCACATCATCTAAGAGAAACAAGCGGATTTAAAACTCGCTTTGAACGCAGTACGGACCTCCGATGCATCTAAAATATCAGTTTAACAGAATGACAAAGTGCTGGGACAAATGTGTAGGCAATTTGAAGTTTGAAAACCAGCCACTGCATTTTCTCACTTACTCAAGCAATGAAGCAGTGTTCCGAAATACATAACTATTGAAAACAGACATTTCAAAGCATATGCAATGCGGAACTGGCCGCTCCTTTCTATTTCCGACCTGAAAATGCCTCGTCCGACGACAACCCGTCTACCAACTGCAACACACATATAGCTAACGCAGTTCGACTACGATCGCTCAGAACCCAGACCGAGGCCTCAGTGTCCGTGATGACAGGATATTCCTTCCTGTACCTGTCAAAGTGCACCCTCTTTCAATATTGGGTTATGCTCACGCTTCTGCCCACTCCTGAAGCGGTCGGAGTTCGACATCCTTAGAATTTACTCATGCGGCCTATTTAATCTAACTGTTATTTCTGGCAATTATATGGATTATTCACTCCGTCTCAATACCATTTAGCTGGTGACGGTCAGTGCATAATCATGCATTATAAAACGTACCAGCTGGGCAGGGCACAGAGTTAGGCAAGAACTAAACAAAAAAACAGAAGCGGATATAACAAGGTCGAAGTGTGCAACAAAACTGAGCTTCGGAAGTTCGCAGATTTCAAGCTGACTGAAGAACTGTCGCGACTTTCTTGCAGAGAGAAATACTGCTTTAAAAAACTCCCGATTTTTCACAAGAGAGAAGTAAAAAAGAAAGCAAGTTAAAACAGGGAGGAGGTTGGAGTCAGGAGTTGAAAAATGAAAGATCCGTCGCTGGCTGGCTGGCGAAGAAGGTCGAATTCGGGAAGCTGAATGATAGGATTTAGTGTTGGCGCACTGCTTGTAGGATGGGGTGGACGAAGAGAGGCGAATTTCGGGATGACCAGGACGGCAGTGGTGATAGCCGATGTCTCAAATGTGCTGACAACCAGCTAACCACACTGCCACCCGGTAGTCCCTACATCTTCTTCAGCGAACATCAGTGCTGCAGCAATAAAGAAATAAAATAGATCTGCTGCTGCTGCTGGACGGAGCGAATAAACGTTCGGCATCAGAATCATCCCGAAGCAGGATGCACGGAATACAGCAGAAATGCATCTGGGACCGTATGCGAAGCAGCTCGAGATCCTCGGAGGATGACAAAATGCGAGGTGAATTCAGGCCAGCGCAGGGGAATGCGCGTGAGCTGGCCGCTGCTGCGTGTATGTTTATATGTGAAACGGCAAGAGCTGCCTGCTCCTGCTGCCTTTGCATGGTGGTAGATCGCTCCAGGATGGCGCCTGCACTCCAGCCACAGTGCCATTTAACAGAGCACATAGAAAACATGCGAGCGCCGCCCCAGCTTCCTTCCCTTCACCGGCCCCGCCCCACCCCGCACTCTTACTCAGCGCACCAGGCAAATGCGAAAACAATATTTTTGTGCGGAAATTTCTAATTTCCGAGAAAAATGAGTTAGCGCACCGGTGGGGGACCGGGCGTGGTCCCCTCCCCTTGCAGCTTTGCGGCACAGCTTCAGCATTGTGCTCCGGGGCCGGCCAGTACCCCCGCATACTGTACATCGCGCGCATTTGTGCCAGGCCATCTGAGAATATCCTGGCCTGCACTACGCACAGATGTCACGGGTACCACTCACTCACTCACTCGCTGATGTCGACAGCCAAGAAGCGAGAGCGATATACGCGCTCTCCCACTGCACTTCAGTTCCTCTCGCGATCACAACGCACCTCGCATGACACTTACCTCACGGCGCCACCGCGTCTCTTCGCGGCCGCGAAAAAAACGCTCACTCGTCAGCCTTCGATTTTTCCTCCACTTCAGTTAGATGGCTATGTTTCAGAGCCAAGCGCTAGTGCTTTCAGTAAAGTACCATGAAGGAGCTAGGACTGTCCTTCTTCCAGTTTGCCATGCCGAAAGCATCGACGGTGCGCCCATTCAGCACCCTTTCGTCGTGCAACGTTCGATCAGGAGTTATCGAGCATGTTCGCTACCTGACGCAACTAGATGCAGACTTCGGAGTCTATGACCTCCGCCTGCAGTTTGGCTGTAGCACTGCT